CATGAGTGCACTTCCATACCTTGCTCAAGAAAACTCCCAGACACCACCTCGAAAACACACGTGTTCGATCGCCTGAATGAAACACCTGCTAAATCCAAAAATCTGGCTATTGAGCCGTCATCCTCACTAAGGGTGTTGAACCTAGTTAACAGTAACTAAAGCGAACCCCAGAAAGTTGGAACGTAGGTTTAGGAGGATTGGTGCTAGGATCCCTTTATGCTTTGCCTTAAGGGCATGAGGATAATGATGTTCCAACTTTCTGGCTCCTTCCGTAACCCAAACCTGAAAACAAACCCTAAACCCTAAACCCTAAACACGGTTTAGGGTTTAGGGTTTACAAACATCCGTCATTCTCCAAAACCCACATCGAAAAAAGGGGAGGAAAGCAGGGCCATGGCAGTGTTGGCCATGGCCTGGTCGTTGAGACCTCGGGGGAAACAGAATTAGGGTTTAGGGTTTAGGGTTGAGGGTTTAGGGTTTAGGGTCTTGACATAAAATCGCAATAGCAATAACAATCATAGTAAGAGCAATAACGACCGTAGCAACAATGATGAGGGTTATTGAAACAAAAGTACTGATAAGTTGACGAGTAAACGAATCACAACACTAACGAACATGAAACGGATAATGAACTTGATAATGATAGTTAGTAATGGCAGTGATTGTAACAGCAATAATGATACTAATAATCATATGTAGCAGTATTGGTAGTAATTAATAATAGCGATCCTTTTTTTCTTGCAAAACACAAACGAACAGGTCGTTCGTGTGTACTGCAGTGATCAACACCGCGAAGAGCGCGAGCATCATAGATACTTATTCGGGCTTCTATAGTAGAACAAGACGCAGCAGCAGCTGAATCGTTTGCAGGATCTTCGTGGCATAGCATAGCGGCATTAGCCAACAATTAGAATAGGACTTCGGGGTATATCATTATTCTTAATGTATTTACGACGATTTGTAACGATTCATAATGTGCCTATCATGGTTCATAATGTACTTATTATATCAAGGAGCCGGAAGGAATACTATTTACTGTTGGTATCTAAATATTCCGCCCTATACATAGCTTGCTTGGACCACTTCGACACTCCTGGGCGGCCCAAACGTGTGATTCGGAAGTAAGGTGTAAGTAAGCATCTGTCAATGCATGTAGTCGGCCAAGTATCTGTGTAAGCACGGGTGGTCGGAAAGTTTCATCTACAAGTTGGTCGAAATGACAACGGACATAAATTACATGAGTCGTGCCAGAGGGACAGAGTGGGGAGACCCATAATCGCGGCTCCAAAGGCCACTTTGTATGATAATAGTACCGCAACAACAAAAACACTGGCAACGACTGGGAACAATACTAAGACGTTCACTGTCAGTTAACCCTTACACATGTCGCCGCTAAAATCACGAGGAGCACTAAAATCGAGTGCCTTTGACAAGCTGTTGTTCAATGCATGCCTGCATAATAGCAGACATGCACACACACACACACACACATGCATGTCTCGCGTGACGCGTGCACAAATGAGTATGCTTGATCCGTTTTTTGTTTCTCTCTCTCTCTCTCTACCTCTTCGTTCTACTTCGTCAACCTGTCCAGATACGTCCGGCGACACCATCTGGAAGGGCACTTTCGCACTTCTGAAGGGCGACGGTTGAACACGCACATGGTCACGGGCCAGGAGCACCGACATACATGATGCTATTGCGGTGCAGTCAACAACAGTACCACTTGTCGTAGCAGAAGTGGAAGCAGCACCCGGCACCAAAACTATAGCCAACAGCACCTTGAAGATGTCGATGGTCTTCAAGTCCCTACGAGCACTACTGCTGATTCTTGTGCTGATCACCTGGCAACTCACCATGAGCAATAGCGGGAATACCATTGCTGCTTCTTCTGGCCGTCATGACCTTGAGACGGTAGTCACGACCTTGGACCCTCGTAGTCAAGCCCTCATGACCCAATTCTTCGCTGAGGCTGCAGCCGTGAATCTTGCTGACTGCTTCCTCACCAGCACAAGCCTTGAATCCGTGCTCGTGCGTGAAACTTAGGACAAAGTCCTTCAGACTCGTCGTTCTGTTCTAAAGGACAATGCAACAAGGATCGAAACGTTGGACCAGGTTCCGACGGTACTTTGTAGTATGCTTGAGGATTGAAACTATAATGAGGAAAATACGGGAGTAAGAGATTGATGAATATAGGGGCCTTAGGATGTGGGGGGGGGGGGTATATTATACAATGATTGCAATATGGAGCCCACAAAATGGTATAGGCAAAAATCAGGGACCTATACTACTCAGACCCGCTTGTCAATTCACACGGGCGCACATACCAAACTTTTGCGCGCTCTGAGTCAGCCTGCTTCTCAGCTCAAGGCTTCGAATCTCTTTAGGTTTTTTGTTCGGTTTTAGGGTTCCGAGTTTAAGGTGTACTCTCTCACACTGGGCAAGCCGAACCCTCCAGGTACCTACTATATAGGGGTTTAGGGGCTCTAATACCCTATATAGTAGGCACCTGGCGGGTTAAACCCTAAAGCCCTAAACCCTAAACCCTAAACCCTAAAACCTAAAACCCTAGAGGGTGTGGTCCCTTCAAGAGCGCCCAACCCAGACGCTCGGCATGGGCCCCGGTGCAAAGCCGACCTCGGGGGTCGACGGCCACACCTGGTCCCAAAGAACCCAATATCCCTTAGTTAAGGAATATATGCCTTAAACTATAGGGTCCTTAATATTATGATTTATAAGGTATAATCCCTAAGTATGAGGGGTACGGGGCTCTCCAGGGATTTCCGCCTCTTCACCGCCGGTGTTTGGCGCCTCCGGGCAAAAGGCGGACCACGGTGGGATCACAGTGGAAAGGAGGCCTTGCCAAATCCAGAATCGTTTAGGGTTTAGGGTTTAGGGGTTTAGGGGTTTAGGGGTTTAGGGGTTTAGGGTTTAAGGTTTAGGGTCGTGGCACATGGCCCTGACTCGAACGGACTTCAAGGCTTCGCGAAAGGGCATGATGGCGAATTTTCGTTTCCACCCAGAGGGGTATCGGTTTGGGTATTGCGTATTGATTTCACGCCTAGCAACTAGTACGTTCGGTTGCGGTATCGGTTTGGGTCTAAACCCAACACCCTAAAACCTAAACCCTAAACCCTAAACCCCTAAACCCCTAAACCCTAAACCCTAAACCCTAAACCCTAAACCCTAAACCCTAAACTAAAAGCCCGAAGCCCTAAAGTCTAAACGCTCAGCCCTACAGTCTGGAAGCTGTCGTCTGCTCGCCGACAGAGTCGAGCTTGGCGAACCTGTTCCACGACGTCAAGAGGTTTAGGGCTTTAGGGGTTGAGGGTTTAGGGTTTGAGGTTTAGGGCTTTAGGGGTTGAGGGTTTAGGGTTTGGGGTTTAGGGCTTAAGGGGTTGAGGGTTTAGGGGTTGAGGGTTTAGGGTTTTAGGGGTTGGGGGTTTAGGGTTTAGGGTTTAAGGGGTTGAGGGGTTTCGACTCACAGACTCGCGCAGGGCAAGCATGGCTTCTGAAGGTTGAAGGGGTTTA